GAAAAGACTGAATGTGACCTCTTTTATTTCCTGACCACCTAAATTTCAAACAACTTAAACCTTATTTTCATTACTTCATAAGAAAGTAAAGACAGTTAACAGTACAAAATCTAATAGCTATTTTTTAGTCTTCATTTTCTAAGCAACCTAAGCTTCCTGGGCTCAAGTGATCCTCCCACCTCAGCTTCCCAAGTAGCTGGGACCACAGGTGCATCTTCACCACATTCAGCTAATTTTTGCATTTTTTGTAGAGGGGGGGTCTTGCCATGTTGCCCAGGCTGGTCTTGAACTCCTAGGCTCAAGTCATCTACTCACCTCAGCCTCCTAAAATGCTGGGATTACAGGTGTGAGTCGCCAGGCCCAGTAGCCGTCTCCTTTTTATTTTTATTTCTTTTTAGATGGAGTCTCGCCCTATCTATCGCCCAAGCTGGAGTGCAGTGGCACGATCTTGGCTCACTACAACCTCCACCTCCCGGGTTCAAGCAATTCTCCTGCCTCAGCCTCCCAAGTAGCTGGGATTACAGGCACGTACCACCATGCCCAGTTAATTTTGTATTTTTAGTAGAGATGGGGTTTCACCATGTTGGCCAGGCTGGTCTCAAACTCCTGACCTCAGGTGATCCACCTGCCTCATCCTCCCAAAGTGGTGGGATTACAGGCGTGACCCACCATGCCTGGCTGCCTTCTCCTTTTTAATAGGCTCTTATCACTTAGCTTCTGAGAACATTACTGCTTTCATTTTTCACCTACACCTCTGGCCAATGTTGAACAGTCTCTATCCGGTCATTGAATTTTGGAGTTACTCAAAACTTCATCCTCAGCTATCTTTTCTTCTCACTCTATACTTTTTATCCTGGCATGTTTCATCATATCCGTGGCTTCAGTTATCACTTATGCAAAAGTCTCAACAAATTATAGCTCCAAATCCACATACGTAACTCCAACCTTTATAAATCTACATGGACATTTCAAAGACAATCAAACTGAGTAGGTTTAAAACCAAATTCATAATATTTCCCATGAGCCTTGTCTACTACCTACTAAATCCTTAGTGTTCACAATCTCAGGAGGTGGCACCACCTTCCCACCAAGTATGTAAGTCTGAGAAATAGGCATCATTCTTTACACCCTATTCTTCCCCTTTATTTAATCCAACAATTGTCCACTTTGTGTTTCTTGAATCTGTTCATTTGTCTTCATCGCCACTGACACCTCTGTAATTTAAGATGTACACCATATCTTATGCGAACTACTGCAATGCAGGAATAGGTCACCCCTATACACTCTGACCCTTCTCTGATCCGCTTCTTGCCATGTAGCCAGAGTATTACTTGCTTTTCTTTTTTCAAAAGAAAATCTGAACATCTTACCCCTTGCATAAAACTCTCCAGTGCCTTTTCACATACTAATCAAGACTAAAATCCTTAATGCGACTAATAAGGTCTTTCATAGACTAGCCTCTGCCTTCTTTCCTAACCCTGTCTCATAGCACTCCCCTTTACTTTGTAACATCTCACGTCCCTGGCCCCTTCTTTTATTCAAGTAGCCCACTGCTATAAGACTTTCATAGGCTCAATTCCTCTCTGCAGAATGCACTTGCAACCTATCTTCCACTCTCTCCTAACATTCCATTTCAAGCATCACTTCCTCAGGGACTACGCAGGTTAAGTCAGAAACGAAAACTTTTACTTCAGTTTGTAATTACATAGCTCTGTCTATTACTATTTGAATTAATGTCTGCTCTGTCACTTCACCACAATTGCATAACAGCAGGATGGGGCATCTCCAACACCCATCAGAGTCCTATGCACTTAGTAAGGACTCAAATGTTTGCTGAATTAATTACTTAGAATGACCATTTCAAGGGTAAATGCAATATGCACTGTAGCCACTAGAGGATGCCCTGCTTCTGTTTTTGTTCCTCCAGAACAGGATGTGAAGATTGACAATACTTAAAAAAAAAAAAAACTAAACCTTTTATGATAAATTATTTACTATTAATGTAAATAAAATTGCAGTGATTGCAAAACATCAGCATTCACAAACTACTTATCTTAATTAGTTTAATTGCTTAATACTAAACAATATTACTTAATAGTTCTCTTTAAAGAAAATCACAATTTATTCAGATTTATTGAAAAAGAAATACCTCCAAAACAAACACATAACTATTAAAATTTTAAAAAGATATATTCATGTACCAATACAAGTTATCTAGTTTATATCTGTGGATGTTTACCACACTCTGAGAAACAATAAAACATGAGTTTTACTAAAACCTCAAGTCAACCAAAACTTCTATTCAGAACATTACTTGTGGTTCTTTTAAGACTATTAAAGCCTAAAATATTTTTTAAATACTAAAATGATTGACGTGCTTTGAAAAAAGCCATCTTTTACATCTTCATTGCTAAGGCACAAGCTTTAATAACTATCATTAGTCAGATGAAACATTAGTTGTAAGGGCCTATATTAATGAAAATCTTACTAAGTAGAAAGGAAATTTCCCAACACTATTAATAATAAATTACTACAAGTAGTAATCAGTAATTATTAATATTCCAGTGTGTGTTACTTATACATTATTCATGAATAACCAAACCTCTGTGTATTGTGGAAAAGAAAAGTACCTACTGGGAAGACTGGGCAGTTGATTTGTTATGGGCTTACAAGATCACAAGTTCAAGGTTATAGGACAGGAAGCAGAAACAAAAGCAGAAAACTACAGATTTGTATAGGAAGAACTTCTGTACATGCAAGTTCTTACAAGTCTCTAAGGAAACATTTTAAATCTATTTTCAACCTGTGTTTTAGAACTTAAGACTCCAAATTAAAGATACTCCCTTCAGCCCTACTGACTTAATTGCTTTTTCAATGCACTGCCAAAACAATTGGTATTAGTTTTATTTTTAAAAACTTGTCAAATGTTCTCAACATATACTAATATTTCATTAATTAATAGGTGACCACAGTAACAGTTATTGTGTAGCACGTACCAGGCACTGGGACAAGAACATTCTCAATTCTGTGTACTTTCCTTATCCCCTTTGATAGATGAATGCAAGTGAGGCTGAGAAGTTAGGTAACTTTTTCAAGGTCTCACAATAAATAATGAGTAGAATTGGGATCTGAACTTAAGCTTTTCTATCTTACAAGCATAATCCTCTTCAGGAATCTTAAATGCAGGAGATGTCTCAATTTCCCAATCAGGGAGATGGAAATGTTGTACATAAACAATCCATTTCTAATCATGCCCTTCGCATGCCATTCACTAATCCTCCATTCCTGCATTCCAGAAATTGGTTCCATTTTAATCTCTCTGGAAAACCCAACTAAAATACGGATCAGCAATCCCTTTTGCTAAGAAATCTCTAACAGGATACAGTATTTGCCATTTCGATTCCATTTGGGGGGATTTTTTTCTCCATGTTTTACTTTTAATACATGGCACAAAAAACTACTTATCATTAAAACATTGGGAACTAATGTCCTATAAAAATACTTTAAATTCTTGGTACTATTTTTTTAAAAACTTCTAGCAAAAATAAAACTTAAAAAATGCAAATTCCCATTCAAATGAAAATTTCAGTTTACTGAGACTGGGTAAATTGAAATTAAAGCCTACTCTTAACTGTTGGCATACTTTTACATGTAAACCAATAACCTGACCTAAGGTTATGTAAGAATCCTCTATTTTAATTTTTCCATGGAGGTAACGGGAGATACTTTACTGTGGAATGTTTACTGCACACTGAATGTAGTATGTCACTTACCTGATAGCACTAATTACTACTGCCTATGCATTTCGGCATTTACTGGAAGCTGTACACTAAGAAAGGAAATCTAAAACCTGCGAAAGTGGTCGTTTGTGTGCGAAAAAAATAGGAGCCATAAGAAATAGCAGTCTAATTGTATTGACTGGAAAATCCTTTACCTTTTCAGATCATAATCAAGGAATAACATAAAAGATAAAAGTTGATCTTCTCAACTTAAGATATGTACTTTATATGCTAACGTTTCATTAAAAAAATCAAAACTCTCTGAAGCATTCAACTTTTAAAATAGTTCTGAGTTCCAAAACCTTGATTCCAGCTGAATGAACAAGTCACAAATGTTGCAGGAGACAGTGGATAACGAATCGTTTGGGATATAAGAAAAATGATGTTAATTCCTTTGACTCCTTATTAGTGGAATTGATTTTTTTTTTTTTTTTTTTTTTTTTTTGAGAAGGAGTCTCGCTCTGTCGCCCAGGCTGGAGTGCAGTGGCGCGACATCGGCTCACCGCAATCTCCGCCTCCCGGGTTCAAGCGATTCTCCTGCCTCAGCCTCCTGAGTAGCTGGGATTACAGGCGTGCGCACCACGCCCAGCTAATTTTTGTATTATTAGTAGAGACGGGGGTTTCACCATGTTGGTCAGGCTGGTCTCGAACTCCTGACCTCGTGATCCGCCCGGCTCGAGCCTCCCAAAGTGCTGGGATTACAGGCGTGAGCCACCGCGCCCGGCGTGGAGTTGATTTTATATCCACTACTCTTGGCTTAAGTTTACTTATCTGTCTACTGGTGAGAAAGCATCTGATATTCTGAAGGGTCCCTGTCGTGTAAATCGTGTATTAAATCCTAAGGGTTTATTGAGCACCTAACAATTTGTTTTCCAACTCGAGGACGTTCCCAGATCGAGGCAAAGGCCAATCTCAGCGTCCCCTTTTCCGTTTAGTCTCTCCAGCCCCCGTCCCCACCCACAGGCAGGACCAATTCCGGGGCGGAGAAGTCGTGCTGTCGCTAGGCCTCCCAAGTGTGTAAGCATGTGGCAGAGAAGGAAAAAGAAGGGAAGTCACATTCTGACTACAGGCCTGGGCACTTGCTATCCGTGGGGACAAAATGTCACCAGTGGCAGCAAATAGCGAGAAAAAGTGCAGCGCACTAGGGAAACAGCGCGTCCGCCGGCGCGACACCGCAGTTTGGGCGCCGACACCCTCCGCGCCCTGGTCCCTGAACTTTACCTGGAGCTTATCCCGGTCAGGCCTGATCTCGAAAACGAGGGCTCCTCAGCGCGAAGGCAGGACCCAGCTCCATTAAAGCTCTCGGGCAGGGGTCCCCTCTACCCACTGAAGCGATAGCCAGTAGGGTATCGCTAAACCACCACCACCACCACCCCTCAATCCCGGAACGCCCCCAACACCTGCCCGGCCGCTGCTGCTCTCACGATAATTCTCGGGCCAGTCACCCGTCAGTCCTATCCACGCCTTCCTTCTCTGACCAATCATGGAGGAATGGTGGGTGGAGTTTTGCTTTTGAGCGGAGAGCGGGGCCTTCAATCTTTGCTATTTGGCGCCTGGGATGGGCGGAGCTGAAGTGGGCTGGGGCGGGGATGGGGCGGGGCTAGATTGGGGAGAGGGGCAGGGCACGCTCCAGTTCTCGCGATACTGGAGACCAGGAAGACGCCTGCAGAGCCGGGCTGCTGGTGCAGCAGAGGCTGAGGCATCAGGTGCAGCTGCATCCGGATCTCCTGCCTTGGAGCCTACTCCTTGTCTTCAAGTCGGGAGGCAGGAGGTGGTCAGGCCAGGGCTGTGGAGGTGCGCTGTGTCCCCTGAGGCCTAGAAGATTCGGGCTGCGGCCTGTCGGAGCCAGTCAGGGAGGCGCCCACACTCCTGACAGGATAAGATGGCGGCGATGGCGCCTGGAGGTAGTGGCAGTGGTGGCGGCGTGAATCCATTTCTCAGCGATTCGGATGAGGACGATGACGAGGTAGCGGCAACAGAGGAACGGCGGGCAGTACTTCGGCTGGGTGCCGGAAGTGGCCTAGATCCTGGCTCTGCGGGCTCGCTGTCGCCACAGGATCCCGTGGCCTTAGGAAGCAGTGCGCGGCCAGGGCTCCCTGGGGAGGCATCGGCGGCTGCAGTGGCCCTGGGGGGCACCGGGGAGACCCCGGCCCGATTGTCAATTGATGCGATCGCTGCTCAGCTGTTGCGCGATCAATACTTGCTGACCGCCCTGGAGCTGCATACCGAGCTGTTAGAGAGTGGCCGGGAGTTGCCTCGGCTGCGCGACTACTTCTCCAATCCAGGCAACTTCGAGAGGCAAAGTGGAACCCCGCCGGGGATGGGGGCGCCAGGGGTCCCAGGAGCAGCCGGCGTTGGGGGCGCTGGAGGTCGGGAACCGAGTACAACGTCGGGCGGGGGACAGCTCAGTAAGTGGACGCAGCCTGTCACACTCCGGCAGGGTTGTTGGGATTGTAAGGAGTTACTGTAGGGGAGTGGGGTATTTCTGCGTGGGTCTCGAGGATAGGGGCATTTTAAGGAACGAGAGTATTGGGGTGGGGGCGCTCTTTTGCGGTGGAAGCCAAAGGATCAGGCAGTGACTGTTCTCCCTGCCTCCAACCCTTGGCTGGTGTTGCACTTGGCTCCTGGCTCCCCTATTGGTGTCAATATCTATAAAATATCAAGAGTTTCTAGTTCACTGGCTATTACGGGACTCCAGAAGGTTCCCTTTTATACTAGTTTATTGCTTTAAGCATTTTTTCCTTTTCTCCAGTTACCTGAATCACACTACCAGGAAATAGTGTTACCTGAATTGCCTGCAGTAGTTCTTTGAGTCTGAGCCAGGAGAGAAAGAATAGGACACATTGCTGCTGTCTCTGAAAAGTCAGATGTACTTAAGACCCTTTGTCTTTGGGACGACTTTTTCACCGCCAAAACTGGGTTTTCTGCTGCACAAAATTTGTTCTGCTGAAATAAAGTTGATGTAATTCAGTTTCAATGCTTTAATTTCAGTAATGTTCAAAATTACAGGAAATCCAAGGAGCAAGGCAGACAGGTTCTACCAGGAGTCTTTCTCACCATCCCACCACCTTGCAGGCTTTTCTCTCTGCATTAGATAGGAGTTGACCTTTTTACCTGGTTGGAATCATTTTTAGCAACATAGAGTAATCCCACATATTTGTAAGCATCTCTTATGGCTTGAAAACTTATTGTCAAAGATGTACTGTACTGTATGTAGGATTCCCAGTGTCTCCCTTTTGGGAGGTATCTTAAAATATTCACTTACTAATGTATGGTGATGTTTTAGTATGAGGCCGTACATTAATTCTATATTAACAAGTGTTCATATAGTATTTTTAAACTGCAGCCTAATTGATTTTTTTTTTAATCACTATGCTTTTGAATAGTGCCAGAGACTTAAATTGCCAAACGTAGACGTGGTGGAAGCTTAGGGAGTGCATTTTCTATCAAGGTGAATCTTAAATATATTTCCCCCTTGGATATGGGATATAATTTCCTTACTCAATATGTAGGATAATCTTCTTTTTCGGGAAAAGATTTTCTCATTGCTGACCTTTAAGACTAAAAATCAGACAGCAGTGTAACAAAATTGTTATGTGTGGTGGTGGTGTTTGTTTTTATTTATATTTATTTATTTATTTATTTATTGGTTTTTGTGTTATTTCTAAGATTTCTAAATTATCTCATGATTTTTCACCAGACAAGGTCTAGCTAAGATGTCACCTTTGTAAATGCTTCCTCCAGGTAGTTGCTTGACTTCTTTCATTGTACCACCTTCAAACCTCCATCATAGCCTTTAGCCTGTTTGTGTGTGATTTGTTGGCAATGCCATTTTTCTCCATTGGTCAGTTCTTCACGGACATTTTTATAGTAAATTCCTCACGCTTTGCTCAGTCCCTGGCCTGTTGATGAACATAACTGAATTGTATCTGCTATGTTTTCAACCGTATTAATACGGTGAAATGGATTTTTCCTTACTTGATAACTTTATTCATTTAATTTTAAAGAATTTCTTGACCTTTTCACCCTGTCTTATTAGGGTTATCATAGCATTGTTTCTAGTGAAAATTCATCCTTGCAGACTTTTGTATTGAAAGAATTATAATTGAGCTCAGTAAATAGTTCAGCAGTGTTTTAGAGTAAAACTTTACTTCTAAGTACCTTTGCATTACACATTTTTTATGGTTTCTTGAAATAACTAGAGTCTTACGATCAAATATCACAATTAAATATTCATGTGCACCTGTGCTTTTCTAAGATCCTCATTTATCTGTACCTGTTTTAGGTACTGGATATATATGTGTGTGTGTCTGTCTCTGTGTGTGTGTGTACACATAAAGGTTATTAAATTTTTAGTTAATACTAAGCAAATGAACAACAGGGCAAAAAATTCAAAATTATCCATAATCCCACAAATGGTATTGGTTTTTCCTGTCTTTAATGGTAGTTGCCTTACCAGTCTTTTCTGTGCATGTATTTTAAAAAACAAAAAATGGATTAAACTGTTTAACATAGTTTTATACAGGCATTATAGTTTTTAGCATCAACTTGGATGTAAAATTTGCATACAGTAAAATTTACACTTTTTAAGTGCATGCAATTTGGTGAGTTTTGACAAGTCAGTCACTACCACAATTAAAATACAGAACATCGGCAGGGTGTGGTGGCTCACGCCTGTAATCCCAACCCTTTGGGAGGCCTAGGCAGGCAGATCACAAGGTCAGGAGTTCGAGGCCAGCCTGGCCAACATGGTGAAATACCTTCTCTACTAAAATTAGCCAGGCGTGGTGGTGGGCACCTGTAATCCCAGCTACATGGGAGGCTGAGGCAGGAGAATTGCTTGAACCCAGGCAGCGGAGGTTGCAGTAAGCCGAGATCTTGCCACTGCACTCCAGCCTGGGCAACAGAGCGAGACTCCATCTCAAAAATAAATAAATAAATAAATAAAAATAAAATAAAATGTAGAGCATTTTTATTATCCCCAGAATTCCTTCATTCAATATCCTTACTTCCATCTAAACCACCACTGATCACCCATCTAAATCACCACTGATCACTTAGAACAGAATTTCTCAACCTGGGCCTGGGCACTTTCAACATTTTGGGCCTGGTAATGCTTTGCCATGGCTGCTGGCCTGTGTATTATAGAATGTTTAACAGCATCCCTGACCTCTACCCAACAGATCCCTGTAGCAACCACCCCCATACCTATGCCACCCCAGTTATGACAACCAAAAATGTCTCCAGCATTGCCCAGGGAAGGGGAGGGCATAATTTCCCCAGTTGAGAACTACTTCTATAGATAAGTTTTGCCAGTTCTAAAATTCCATGTAAATAGAATCATAGAACGTATTTTTTTGTGTGTCTGCCTTCTTTTGCTTAGAATGTTTTTAAAAGTCATCTGTGTCTCTGTGTGTATTTCTAGATCATTCCTTTTTGGTTTTATCCCTGAAAGGGGGGGATAAAAACATTTGTGTTTTTTCAGACATTTGTGTTTTTTCCAGTTTTGTGTTATTATAAAGAAAGCTCCCATTTACGTCTTTATAAGAAACTGCCAAATTGTTTTCCAAAATGGACCATTTAAAATTTCCACCACCAATGTATAAGAGTTCCAGTTTCTGTACATCTCCTAAACACTTGGTATTTTCAGGCTTTTTAATCTGTCATTTTAGTAAGAATTTTAGCAGTATCTTATCGTGGCTTTAATTTCTATTTTCCTGATGACTAATGATTCTGAGGTCCTTTTCCTATGCCTTTAGTTTTTTATGAAATGCCTATTTTTTATGAAATGCCTATTCAATCTTTTGCTCTCTTTTTTTCCCCTTCAACTTCCAGGGTACATGTGCAGGGTGTACAGGTTGGTTACATAGGTAGACATGCGTCATAGTGGTTTGCTGCACAGATTAACCCATCACCTAGATATTACGCCCAGCACACATTAGCTATTTTTCCTGATGCTCTCCCCGTCATCCCCCATGTCCATGTGTTCTCATCATTCAGCTCCTACTTACAAATGAGAACATGCGGTGTTTGGTTTTCTGTTCCTGTGTTAGTTTGCTGAGGATAATGGCTCCCAGCTCCATCTATGTGTCTACAAAGAACATGATCCTGTTGCTTTTTATGGCTGGCTGCATAGTATTCCATGGTGTACATGTATCACATTTTCTTTATCCAGTCTATCATTGATGGGCATTTGGGTTGATTCCCATGTCTTTCCTATTGTGAATAGTGCTGCAATGAAGATACACATGTGTGTATCTGTATAATAGAATGATTTACATTCCTTTGGGCATATACCCAGTAATGAGATTGCTGGGTCAAATGGTATTTCTGGTTCTAGGTCTTAGAGGAATTGCCACACTGTCTTCCACAATGGTTTAACTAATTTACAGTCCCACCAACAGTGTAAAAGCGTTCCTATTT